TCATTCTCTCTATCCAGTCTACAGTTGTCCCATAAAACAATCTCCTTCCCAAAAAATAAGTGGAAGAGTTCACTCTGGTCCTTTAACTGGCATCTGATTATTGGTGGATGTGGCAGGCACCGTTTATCTTTCTTGTGGTGATCAACAGATGAGATGGACATCAGACAGCACTGGGGAAGCCCTCCGGCCCACAGATGCCTCAAGCTCAGGAGAGTGCAACTTAGCAAGAAGAAATGAGGAAAGATATCAAATGTCATCTATCAAGTCATCCTAAACTTTCCAGGCTGTGATCTAAGAGAAACCCCTATGGAATCTACAATATCGTCTCTGTCCTGCCCACTCTGCCTTCAGGCTGTAGGCACATGCTAAGGGGATTCTGAAGATAACAAAACCCTAACTCCTTTCCAGCAAGCACCTCCTACTGCTTCTGCCCCAGCTGGTCTAGTAGTATTGGGGAGGGAGAAAAGGTGGAGGAGGGGATGAGGTGTCAGAGACCCGAGTGAACCCCCAGACACCTGCCAGAGCCCTAAACCTGCGTCAGAGTCTGTCTCCATCGAAAGGAAAGAAAGCAAGTGTGCCACAACCAAATCACAGTAGCCAGAGTGGAAAATACAGCTCTGACACGGGCCGTTGGCTTTGGGGAAAATTCTACTGATGAACCATATTGAGACACATTATTTATCTTCTATGGTTGCCAAGCCTGGGTTTCTCTTTCTTCCCTCTTTTTCTACTTGGGGGGTGGCAGGTATTTTCATTTCATCGAAATGGAGGGGCTGCTGTTACCTATCCTTAGGCAAGCCACAATTAGAGAAAGACTGAATACTAGCAGCGACTGGAATTCCATGGGGCTCAGGTTTTCTTCTGGGATGCTGAGAGGAAAGGGGGTGGGGAGGATCACACCATTATCATGTCTGTTTGTGAGATATAATCAACATATAACATTATATCTGTTTCAGGTATAATGACATATTTTAACCTTCTAAAATTATTAAAGCCACACTGTTCATCTGTTTTTTTAATCCTCACTTTTTTTCATTGCTTTTAGAAAGAGAGGAAGGGATAGAGAGAACCATTTATGTGAGAGAGGAACATCAATTGGTGGTCTCCCATTCACACCTGAACTATGGATTAAACCCGCAGCCCAGGTATGTGCCCTGAAAGGGAATCAAACCCACAACCCTTCAGTTACAGGATGATGATCCAACTACTGAGCCACACCAACCAGGTCCACATTGTTCATCTTGGTATGATGCTTTGGGTAAAGAAATGAACTGATTAGCAGGAGACCAAAATTCTAATTCCTTGTCTGCCACTCAGGCAAGCTCTTTAAAGACCTGGGATTTCAATTTCCTTATCTATGAAATAAGAGGATCAATATGGAATTAAACTGGAAAATAAACTCCAAAATTCCTCCCAACTCTAATAACTCTCAGTTCTTGGAGTTGAGTCCTAACCCTACACATTCTCCTACTTGACTTTGAGCACCCAGCTAACGTCTCTAAGCCTCAGTTTCTTTGTCTGTAAAACCACAATAAGGACTCTGGCCTTCTTGTCTCTTAGGGTGACGGGGAAGACTGAATGCTACATGTGAGAGTACTTTCTAAGCTTTGACACCTTGGACACATGGAAAGTATTTGTATTTCTACTTACCAGGACAAGGCAAGAAGATTTTGATTATCTGAAAATCCTGGTGTTCCATGAAACTAGCAACAGGCTTATAATAAAGAAGGAGAGGGACTTTGTTGGATTAAAAAAAAATTCTGACCACTGGGATCATTAGTCACTGTGGAATCTTTTCAAAAAGGCTTCAGGAAAAGAATAAACAAGAATTGGTCCCAGATTATTTAGTCACATCTTGTAAGCAAGAACCTAGATCAAATGACTCCTATTTAGCTTCTTTTGTTAAAAAATTTAAGCCTCCTCTGTAAGGGTTAGAGTGGGAAGATACATGGATGATAGCCCTTTGGGGGCTATTTCCTATGTCTAAAGCTTACTGGAATCTAGAGGCAGCTTCCTGAAAGATGCTTTTAAAGGATGTGAGTGTGTGGGCAATGTTTTCTGAAGCAATGAATTAGGGAAAAGGGTGCAGTGGGATGCAGATAAGGTTTAGAAGCAATGTAGAGAAATCATTTTGTAGTTTACAAAAAAGTTCAATGAGCAAGTATGGCACCTTTGAGAAAATTCTTAAGAAGAATTTACACATATAAGAAGGTACATGTATAGGGCTTTTTCCCCCTCACCTGAGGACATTTTTTCATTGCTTTTACAAAGAAAAGAAGGGAGAGAGAGAGGTACATCAATGTGAGAGAGAAACTGATTGGTTGCCTCCTGTACGCACCCTAACAGAAGATCAACTGGGGATAGAGCCTGTAACCTTTCGGTTTACAGGACAAAATTCCAACCAACTAAGCCACACCAGCCAGGGCACATATAGGTCTTTTAAACATCTAAGTTTTGGGGTCAAATCTGCTTCAACTACTAATAACTGTATGACTTGGGTGAGTTACTTGAACCTTATTTAACTCTTCTATAAAATAGAATTAATAATTGTATAAACCATTGAGGTTGTTTTAAAGCTTAAAGTGAAATAATATAAAGTGCCTGGAACATAGTAAGAGATCAGAGAGGTAAAGGAAAACCAATTAAGCCAGGGAGTCCTTGGGTATGGGCATGAGCAGGGGTTCATGGGCTCTAGCCTTGGGTCAGACCTTGTCAAGTCCATGGCACATAGCAGGCACACACTATATAGTAGCAGATGGTGGGCATCCCTTAGTCATAGACGAGCTGTAAAGAGTCACATACACATACACACTCACAACAGATCATTGCTTAGGCTCACATCTCCAGGTTGAGAAGATGAATAAGAGGTCTGCACACCAGTGTGTTTTCCCAGCCATGCCACAGGAAGTCTGCAGGGTCCCATGAACCCTGGGCAGAGGGGGATTTTAGAAGGAAGCTTTCTGAAAAACTCAGATCTCATGGCTGCAACATGATTGGATGAAAGGATAGTGAGGCCTGACAGACGGCACCACATGGGACAGTGGGAAGAATAGAGCCCAGGGAAAAGATGTGGATGTGGCTTAGTGGTTTGTGGCATGGTCAGCAAGCAGAAAGTCCTGGATCCTACTCCTTCTGCTGGTTCTAGGAAAAGCCACTGGGGCCTCCATGCCCGAGTCAAGAAAAGACCACAAAGGAGCTAACTCTTTGATGCCATTAGCTATTTTGTGGCCTTAAAGCATTTCAACCTATTGAAAAGCCTCTTCAATCATCTACAAGGGAGGAAAAAGAAGTGAGGAGTCCCATTTCACAGAGACAGAAAACTTAGGCTCACTGAAGATGAAACACATCCTCATAATCACATAGAAAAAAAGACTAAAACTAAAACAGGTCTTTTTTTCCTGGGCCTAGATCTCTACCATTTGAGAATCTTAAACCTATATGGTAACCAAAATGAATAAAATGTTCACACCAAGCTAGACTGTGTCTCTTTTCTCTCCCTAGCACATATGAAGCATAGGTCCAGGCCCCAAAGACAACACACACACACATGCACAATGTGTGTGCACACACACAAATACATACCCAGAAAAAGATGCTTCACAACTCTAGGTGGTGCATAGTGAGTGCAGCCAAGTACAGTCGTAAGCACTGGAGAATTTTTAAAAAGAGAGAAAGAAAACATAGTGATATCAGATTGGTAAACAAAGGCTCACGGGAGAGGGTTCTGTTGGATGGAAGGGGAGAGGGTGAGTGAGGTCATTTCATGCCAACGAAGCCAAGTGGAAGCAAGGAGTTGGAAGAGAACAGGGCATCATCTGACAACAGGTGAGAGTCCCCAACTTGGCCAGAGACCTTGTATAGAAAATTTTGTGGAAAAGAAGGCTGCAAGGTATTTGGGAGTGTGAATGCCAAGCTCGGGTGGCTGGGTTCTGTTGAAGGCACTGGGCAGCCATTCAAGTTTCATGCACATGGGGGGTTGGTGATGAAACTGGTACATTCAGAAGATAGATAAGCCTGTGGTCTAGAGAACTCTAAACTGGTTGAAAGAATGCATTCTAGTCCTGGCTGGTGTGGCTCACTTGGCTGGAGTGTTGTCCCATAAACTGAAAAGTCGGGAGTTCGATTCCTAGTCAGCACACATGGCTGGGTTGTGGGTTCAGTCCCCGGTTGGGGACCATATATGAGGTCCCTGGCTATGCCACTAACAAGATGCAACTGATCGATGTTTCTCTCCCTTTCTCTCTCCTTCATTTCCCTTCTCTCTGAAATCAATAAACGTGTCCTTAGTTGAGGATAAAAAAAAGTATGCATCCATTTGCTGGCTGCGTGGGGTTGAAGGGAACAACCACATAAAGAATTAAGTTTATTCTCCTTAGAATGGTAATGGTAGTAACTACCAGCAACAGCTGAACCTCCACTGGCCCTTAACTAGGCTAGGGCGGGAAGATCAAGGGACTAGGATGGAGTCAATATGAAGAACTTGATACCCTTCACACCATTTCTGATGGCCCAGATCTCTGTTGCACTGGCTGCAGAGGGCCTCAACCGCAACGTTCCTATCACTATAGCCTATATGGAAGCAAGCTCTGTCTGCATGTGGTCTCCTGCTATAACCCAGCTCCTCCTCCTCCCTTCCAGTTTACTCTAAAGCCCTCTGATTTTACATGAAATGAAACAGAAGCCTCTGCTGTAGTCATAGTGACCAGAAGCTCCTGCATGCTGCTCCCCACCTCATCTCCCTTCATCAAGGTCCCTGCCTTATTGGTCCCCTGCAGCCTCACCCCCACAGGAAGGACTCAGTGGTGATCTCAACTCTTCCTCCACTTGCACCACTCTTTGGATGTTCAAAGTCGTTACAGGAGGCTCAGAAGGGAAAGCGAAATTATAGTATCAATAGTCATAGCTGTTCTGATAGTAGTGGCTGTGGTAGTTGTAGTAATTGTAGCATAGTAGTATAGTATACGAAACACATTTCCAAGTAATAGTCATTGAGTACTCACCATGGGCCAGACACTGTGACATGCATTTAATCCCAGTTTCTGCTCATCACCAGGAGATGGGTGTTAGTACTTATTCCATCTCACACAGATGATAGGGTTTCCTTGGTAGAGGTGTACATGGAGTTCTGGATTCCAGTGGCAGAGCTGCAACAAAGGCCAGTTTGCCCATGACACCAGCTAAGGATGTCCTATTCTCCCTCCCCTTCCACTCCCAGCCCCAAGTCCCTATCCCCTCCTTCTTCACAGCACACAGCTGAATCTTGCAGCCCCCTTGACTAGATACACATTTGTACACTGCAGTGCAGGTAGCTTCAACTCATGCACAGACGGTTGTGAGTCACTTTTCTGGAACCTGGAACAATGTCGCTATAGAAGTTCATTTTATAAATGCCGATTTTTCCTAACTTACAATTTAACTGAGTTATGCTATAAATAGCACCAAAATCAGTTTGGACTCATGGGAGCTGGGGTCTACAAGATTTGCAAAGGAGAGTTTCTTTCTCCTACTGGACATATGACCTGCCTTAGGAAACATTTGAAATAGACAAAGTTGTCTTGGATCACCGCCTATCACGCTCTACTCCCTCTCCCTGAGACCTCTCCCTGAGACCCCTCCCTGAGAAGTTCTTGTCTACTTTCACCTCTAAGGAGACCTTCCCCTGCCCCACTGAAACCCCTGCCTTCTTCCAGGCTTGGCATACTCTCCTTCCCGGCTGTCTCAGCTCATGACCGACCCCCCATGGAACTTAGGCTCTGGGGTCAGCAAACCTAAAGGGCTGCTGCTTCTTCAGTGGCTCTGAATCAGAGCTCAATGGCTTTCTAGAAGTTACTGGCTACTTCATCAAGGATTTCTCAGAAGCAGAATCCTCAGGTAAGTGGTGTTTTACCTCAGAAGGGTAAAAAAGAAGAAATAGATGCCCCTCTCGGCTATAGAAAACAGGCATTTCTAAATTGGGAGTGACCTGTGTATCTTTTGCACCATTTATGTTCCTGTCCTCTGGGTCCTCAGTCTCCTTGCCCCATGGAGCTTTCTTCCCTGGATCTGTGGATCTGCTTCTTTGGAGCCTGCACAATGGTTTCACCACAGAGGTCAAATATCTGTTTCCAGCACTGGTCACTCCTCCCTGCCTTCTTTCTTTTTCTTTGTGGGGTACAACTGAGGAGCTGAGGGACTTCATTCATTGCTTCACAGCCGGTGGCAGCTGGCAGCTGGCAGCCCCTGGGACTGAGGCAGCACTCTAACTGGCTTCATTGTGTTTTGCCATGGGAATCTAGCACCCCACGGTCACCTCCACCAACAGAACCTATTACCTGAAACTCCTATCATGAGCCAACCACACCAGAAATGCTTCCTCCTGGGCACTGGCCTGCCTCTCAGCAGACATCAAAATGACACAGACATTTTACCACACGGTGTGGATAATTTCTTAAGAACATGAAGGCCCTTCTGGAAGAGATGTGAAGCGATCTCTAGGGCTTTCCAGTAATATTCTTTCCTCCCAGAGACAGTCAATGTGAGAAATCCACTTCCGGAAGGTGATCACCTCCCTCCCACACCCCGCCACCCCCGGGCCTGTGCTCTTGAGGAAAAGGCAGCATCACGTCCTCCCAGCAAGCGGAGGCCCTCTGATTTCCACTGCTCTCAGCAGGCCTGACTCACAACGAAACTGCAACTTCGAGAACACGAGGGGCCAGGATTGCAAGAAGGAAATACAGGTGAACACACGCAAACTGCCTGAGGAAAAGGTTTTGTTCCTCTTACAGAATGGCACTTCAGCTGGGCAGAAGTTGTGAACTGGAAGTGACTGAAGGAGCCTGCAGTCATGCTGACCTAGTGGATTTGGCAGAGAGGGAAAGTATGCATCAGAACCACACGTGCCACCTAAGTCCTGCCAAAGAGAACAGATGCAGCAGGGTTGGGAGGGGAGTTAGGGGAATAACAAAAGTCTGGGATGTTAGCTTTGGAACGTATCTTAGAAAAGTAACTCTGTCAAACCTCCACCTTGCACATGCAGAAAGGAAGCCTGGAAGATGGAAAGGAATGTGTTTGGGATCTCACAGTGGAAGGTCCAGGGCTGGTTACTGTTCTAGACATCTAAGCCAGAACTCGTTCTATTGTGGGATTCACTCCCCCAGCACTTGCCCCCCAGCTTCCTGCAACATCCTCAGAATATTGGGGTTGAGATCCTGTTGTGTTCCAAGTCTTCAGGTCCACCAAGAGATACATCCAGTTCTATAGCAGCATGAGCATTACCACACAAAAGCATTAGCAACCACAACTCAGATGTCTTGACAGCTTGTTATGGGCCAGGCACTCACCTAAGCACCTTTGGGCATTTCATTCTGTTCCTACAGCAACAGCAGCAGTCATCAGCTCCAACTGTAGATACTCCATCATAGGAGAGCTCAGAAAATTGTCCAAGTGGTGAGGGGCAGAGCTGGGCTGCAAATTTAGTCCAAAAGCAGGGTCCACACACTTAACCATCACACTCTACTGCAAAGATCAGCCCCAAAGCAGGGCACATCGTGTGTTTTGCAGTAACTGAACACTTGGACCCAGAACGGTGAGTGTTGGCAAAGTGGGGAAGATGAGTGCTTTGCTATCAGAGATCTAGCCTTTGCTGTCATATGTGTATGAGGTCTGCCACAAAAGAGAGGCTTCAGTGCACAATTCTTAGCCACTCTTTCGTGAAATCAATCAATCGACTCCTTGATACCAATTTATATCCAACCTCCTGCTTGATGCTTCTGACCTTACTGCCACCAAAAACAGTCCCAGATCACCCAAAAGCCAAGGTTCAAACAAATTCTCTTCAATTTTTTGAAAAACCAATACTTTTAAAAGCATTGATACAATCGTCAAAATTAGCCAAAACTTGTTGGACTTCCTTAAACGTATCTTAAAGTTTAGTGGTGTGTTATTTTGAACTGCATTCAAAGTTTAAATCATCTTAGGGCCTCAGGAGTTCTTAGTCCAGCTCTGGAAAAAAAGAGATTCTGCTTCCACTCATTCCGTAGGGAGTCTCCCACAGTTGAAAGGGTAACAGGGATCAAGGTTTAATCCAACTACAAAATGTGTGGCCCAGTTCCTAAAACAATGCCTGCCTTATCAGTCATTTCTAAACTAGCCAGATCAGTAACAGCCCCTGACTGCATATGACCCTCGATTTTGCATGAGGTGAGAAAAGAATAAAAAAAATTGTATTAATTTGATTGGCTAAATCCTGGAAGTTGGACTGGGAAATGTCTAATTTTATTTTGTAGGTTATTCTGAAAACTGAGAAAGTACAAGCCTAACCAAAGAGAAAGCAAAGCTTTTTAACGTTGTGTCAGAACTGAAGGAGAGAAAGAAATACAAAGAAGAATTAAAAGTGGAAGTGAAAAGTGGAACCCAAAATAAGCCTACAGTAGAGTCCCTCTAATAGCCCTGCACCGCCTGATCGCACACAGCACCTCAACCGTGTTGAGGCCAGGGGCCCCTTGGAGAAGGGAGTTTACAGTAATAGGTAAAACACAGCACATCAGCCCCTAAAATCGCATGGTTTCTGACTTGAAACCACAAACACTGCGTGTGAGGAAGCACTTCAGCTTCCATGACATACATGATGCGCACAGGAGTTACAGCGCTTAAAGGACCGTACTGGCTATTTGGAAACTCTGAATAAAGAAGACAACAGTGAGGCAGTGGGCTCCTTCCTGCTCCATGCAGACCAGGTGCCCTGTAGCTGTATCCCTCACCCCTTCCTCGGAGGCCAAACTTTCATCACCCTCCTCCTACTCATCTGCACTCAGAGACTTTTGTTAAACACTCAGGCCAGAGATTCTTAAAGGGTGGTCCAAGGACCCCTGAGAGGCCCTCCCTTTTCCAACTATATATTTATGTAATGTGAGGCTGGATTTTCTTTACACACTTCAACCACAACAACATATCACAACACACTGAATGTAGAAGCAGATGTAAAAATACAAGTTCTTCTATTAAAGCAGTATTTACAGAGATTTGGGACAAATGTCAAACAATGTCACTCTTCTCACTAAATGTGTTCTGACTTGGAAAATATAGCTATTTCTCATAAAAATTATGTTATTTGTGTTAACATGTAATGGGTTTTTAGTATTATTACTTCAAAATGTCATAAATAGACATGCTTTTAATTTCTCATTTTCAGTTTCTAATATAACTATTGATAGACATAACTCACATAAGTAAAAGCTCTTCAACGATTTTTAAGAATGTAAAGAGTCCTGAACCCTAATGACTTAGAGAATCTAGGACCACACTGGATGTAACAGCACACTCCCACTCCCTCCCTGGGAGACTTTATGACCTAAGGCTGGCATGTAAATGACATAGTCACAGCAGAAGTAGCATGAATCCAGAATGGAGGGAGAATTTGGCTCTTCCCATGCAATGCAGATGTATGTCTAAAGCACACATTAAAAACACAAGGGGTATAGGCCCTGGCCAGGTAGCTCAGTTGGTTAGAACAGTGTCCTGATACACCAAGGCTGCAGGTTCAATCCCCAGTCAGGGCACATACAAGAATCAATCAAGAATGCATAAATAAGTGAAACAACAAATTGATGTCTCTCTCTCTCCCCCCACCCCCCTTCTTCTCTCTCAACAATCAGTTTTAAAAACACACACAAGGAGTCTGGTTGAGCAGTAGAGTTAGGGGTACATTTTAAAGATAAAGATCAGAATAGACAAGATGAAGTAATCAACTTTTTGCTGTCTTGAATAAAGTTTCTTGAAGGAGATGGTGCTTTAGGGGTACTGTGGTGGGAGGCTATGCCAAACCATGTCTTTTAGCACCTCTGTAATTATGTCTCAGAGACAAATGCAGTAGAAACTCTTTTTTGTCTGCACATATTCTAAGGCTAGAAAGGGAACCTTACCCAGAAAGGTCAAGTGGCAGCCACTGAAGGGTTAAGTGGGGAGGGGAGGGTATTGGTGTCTAGAAATAATCATTCTGGCTAAAAAGTGGAAAACAGTTTGGAGAGTGGATATTAGAATATCAATTAGGCTTTATTTTGAAGCCCATAAGAGATAGGATGATAGCTTGAATCAGACGATTAATGATAATGGAAATGGAGAGAAATAAACAGATTAGAAAGATGTTTGTAAAAAAAATCTGGAGGAC